AGTGATGCGCAGTGACAGGACAAGAGGCGAGGTTGTGGAGTCTCCTTCTCTGGAGATATTCAAAACTGTCTGGACACGATCCTGTGCAACGTGCTCTAGATGACCCTGCTTGAGCAGGAAGGTTGGACTAGATGATCTCCAGAGGTCTCTTTCAACCTTGGCCATTCTGTGATTCTGTGATAATGGTATGTGGTCAAATCAGCCACATCCACACACCTAGGTTGGTGTTAGTGCAGTTATATACCGTGTCCTGCCTGACCTTAGGGGCTTTCTGGTGATAGTTTCCATTTATAGTTTCTCCCTTGCAAACCCTACCCCCCCCCCCCTTTTTTTTTTTTTTTCTCTCCATTTTTTTTTTTTTTTCTCTCCATTTTTTTTTTTTTTTCTCTCCATTTTTTTTTTTTTTTCTCTCCATTTTTTTTTTTTTTTCTCTCCATTTTTTTTTTTTTTTCTCTCCATTTTTTTTTTTTTTTCTCTCCATTTTTTTTTTTTTTTCCCAACTCTTAGTCTGCTTTGGATATATCTTATGCTTGGGGATCTGCTTCTCCTGTGGGGCCAAAAGTTTGGATCTTTGTTTTATTAAAGCATTTATTGGGCCCCATCAATGTTAATGCATCTCTCCACAGAGGGACGACTTCTGGTTGTTGTTGTCTCCTCTAAGTAAATAGGTAATATAAGGTCTTGCAATGAATTGTAGAGAAGAGAACAATGAAAGACAGTGCATCAGACCCATCCATTCCTCCCACAGTACCTTTATCTCTAAGGTTATTTCTTTTGAATGAGGGTAGATTACCTGTTTTCTAGAATTCATACTTTGCAGGACAGAGCTATCTTTGCCTGCCAACCTACCCTTGCTGGTGAGGCCTTTTTTCCATCTATGGGATCATGTCTTTTAGTAGCTCCTGTGTGCGTTTATCTTTGTGGAGTGGTCCTAGGTACCCGTCTGTTTGTAAAGATATTGGATAACCGCTTGGTTTAGACTATACTAATCTACTGAGTGTAGTCCCTGGTGTAGTAAGCACCTTATAGCAGGGTAGTGTTATCACTGATATCAGTGCTCAGTGTGTCCATCCTTCTCCAAAGCTTCTGAAGAGTTCACTGTTCATACTGGCACCAAATGATGCTTCTCTGCTTGAGTTCCCAGGACTTATGCTAGATTTTGCAAATGGTGATGAAATTAATATTTGCTTTCTTTTTAAGCCGCCTCTGGGTAACTGTATCTGCGTGGAATAGTGCAGGTTACTCAAGCTTAGAACAGATATGTGGACTATCACTTTAAAATAGAAATTACTTACCTTGGTGCTATACACAATGTAGTCCTCATCTCCCTCTTCTTCATAGTCCAGCATAATTTTCTTTCAGATTTTTTGCTATCTTGGGTCCTTACAGTTTAACACATGGGGAAATTAAGGTCTTGGCCATAACCCACTGATACAGGACAAATGTCTCCAGTCTCAAGGCTCTTGGTAGAGTTGGAAGAGGTGTTTAGATAACATACTCATGTTCTTAGTAAGCTTCTTCCTTAGTCACAGAATAGCATCCTCACTTCTGCACAACATGTAAAGCTTGGCAAACTGCAGAATTTGGATGCTTTTTCCTGATTCACTGAGGATGCTGCTGCTTGGTGGTCTCAGGAAAATGTGGAACTATATTACTGCAACTAACAACGTATGTAACAAACTACTGAATTCCTGTTTATAAAAGCAGAAGCCAACTCTATTATGTATATATGTATATTCTGTAAATGACAGAGGACATCATGACAACATCACGTAGGGTACATGGAGTACTCCAGTCCCTTTAAGCCGTGTGCCCTACCTGATGTTTCATGTGTGAGCCTTAGCCCTGAATTGCTGGGTTTCCTGCTATCTCCTACTATATGCAGCATGTTCTTGTTTGGTTCCAGTGTTCATTTTGGTTTGGGTCAGCACAGGAGGGAGCATGCTCTTTGAGCGGGTCAGAATCTAGGATGTTATTTACCTAGACTTTAGGTTGTTTGGATGGGTGAACTTGAGATGAGGGTATGACACATTCAGCATCCTTCTGCAGCTCAAGTGTGAAGAGTCTTTGCTGGGCCCTGTGCATGTTTTCAGAAGCAGAAGAGATGCTGCAACTTTTGGAGGAAACGTTCCCTTTTATTGGAAATTACAGTCTTAGAGGTAGCTGAGACATTTGAGGAGACAAGGTAGCAAAGCTGCTCCTACACGGAGGTCCTGGAAGCTGGTCTGTCACAGGAAGGACTGCAGCAGGTGAGATCTTGGTGGGCCTGAAGGTGACTGGAAGAACTACAGCTGAGGATGCTGAGCTAGGGGAGGCATTTCATGATGGAAAGGGTAAACAGGAATGATCTTGTTCTTGACCTTCACCTCCATCCAGTTGTCCTGTTCAGTCTACTTGTTTTTATTAGATTACAATCCCAGCTTTGTTGGGTGTTCCACAGGAATACCCTGGGTGGGAGCTTGAAGTTAATGACAACTTTATGGCTAACCCAGGCCTAGTTCCCTAGTTAGAGGGATGGTGGTTTGCTCACCATGGCAACACAGTCCTTATGATCAGTCCTAAGTAACTCAGAGATACTGTGCACTAAAGGTAGTGAGAGCAGTGCTGGGTTCCAACCTGTGTCCGTAAGAATTAATGTCAGATATGCTCACTGACAAACTTGGGGTTTCCAGCAAAGAAGGAAACAGTTTGTGTTCCTAATAACATGATGATTTAAAAAAAATGTGAAGGAAGTTGTGGGTGCCTAAGTAAGGGAGTATCATGAAGGATGAAGGAAGGTATTTGGCTGGGTATTTGGTATAGAGGAGAGGTAGTTCCAAGAGGTAAGGCTGTTCTATGTGGAAAACGTATGCTAGGAAATGAGACCTGTTTTAGGTGTTGGCATGCACTTGTCCATACCCTTAAACTATGAACAAGTGTTTTTGATAGCTGTGGCTGCTGTGTGTGACTTGGTGCTGTCTGTATGTTTAGAGTGTGTCTAACAGAAAGGATATTTTGGGAGGACTGAAGGGTTTAGGTATCCTTAAACTTTTGTCTCCGCAGCCTGATGAAGGCTGGGCAGAATGACTGGAACAGATTCCAGTTTAAGCTGAATGCAGAGAACTAGAAAGCCAAAACAATTGCATATGTGCATCTATGTAAATGCCAGAAAACAAGGAAATAAGACCGGGTTTCAGATGCCTTGGATTAAAAACGATGTTGATAAGGATATTAACAAAGATAAACACACTGATTACTTGATGGAAGGAAGGCACTTGGTGGGAATGTAAGCTGGGTAAAAAGCAAGCCATGTGCCTGTGCTAGGGAAGAAGCAGCTATGTAAGTTAAAGGAATTTACAGTTAAATGGAATAGACTCTATAGGTGAACAATCCAGACCTGTATAAATGTAGTGGAATATTAAGACTATTTTCCTAATTGGAGTTGTGGTAGTGATGGTAAGTCAGATCAGTTTGCAAGGACAGGAAAGGAGACCTGTCAGCTACCTTTGTAGCTTGGGTAAATGCTGCTTTGGATGTGATACCAGATTTAAAACTTTACTAACAGTTGTATTAGTAGCTGATCAGGAACCAAGAGGAGAAACAACACTTGATTTGATCCTGGGCAGCATGCAGGATCTGGCTTAAAATGTGACCACTAAGGAGCTGTTTTACAGCAACAGCCTTCTCACAGGCACAGCAAAAGCAGAAAGGTTCACAATTGGGTTAGTAAAAGAGTACAATTGTTTGTAGACAATGTGAAAACTACTTAAAGCCACTGAAGTGGATACAACTGTTCAAAAAGAACAAAGACGACTAAAGAAAACCAAAGTTTTTATTGCTAAATAGCACGCTGCAGCGTCCTTATGCAGGAGTGTTGAGGTCAGCCTCAAATCATAAAAATAAGGGTCACCATCATGTACTTGCATGAGGTGTTGGCCTGGGGGGAGACTTAAAGCAGATGTGGAAGCTATGAATATTAACTCTTTTATACATTTGCAAATCTCTGCTGACCCTGGCAAGCCAGACAAGGCAGCGCTTGTATTGTAGCTACTGTAAGGATTAAGAGATTAAGAGCAAGCTCTGTAAGTTCATGATGCTCAATAGCTGCCTATGTGAACTGGGGCAGAAGGAGAGGTCTCAGCCAAGTCAGAAGTCACTTTTCTTTGATAAATATGAGAGGGGATGTTTGTAGGACTTCACCTCTAGTTAATGAGCTCTGGCCTGAGAGTAATGCATGAAGTGACAGCTATGAATGGTTCCTAAAGTGTCAGGAAGTATCAATAATGCATTTAATTGTTTGGAGCCTCTGGAACAGTGTCCAGTTTGGCAGTCAGATAGAATAAAACAGATCTTAAGGAAAAGAATTTTTCTGATACAAGGTGCCTAATGCATGAATGTACTTCTCCCCAAATGATGGGATGATAGTCATGGAGGAGGGTCCTGCATATGGTTGGTACTGGTGTAATATCAAAAATGCCTGAAAGTTGGGGGGGGGGAAAGGGCGTGCATGTCAGGGGGATGCTTTTTTGCTAGACGGTATCTGCATATTACAGTTAGGAAGTACAAAGGAGAGTTTGCCATCTCTACTGACCTCTATCTTCTAGATTCTTCCAGAAGTGCAGTGGATCTTGGTTTCATTCCAGTCTATGCTATTTGAGTGAAAGAAATCTAAAGCAGCACATAGCTTGTTTCCCTTTTTAAGAACACTCCTCCAACCTGCTCTCAGAAATGCCAAGTCCAGATCATCCAGCGTAAGTGGGGAGTGGCTGTGTTCAACCTCATTTGCAATTTGCACATGCACTGCCTGTACCTTAAATGACTGGTCTGGGAATGGGCATGACATCTGACTGGAGATGTGTTCAGGGCAAAAAAGTAGGGACGGAATAGTGAGAATCAGCAGTAACATGCAGTACTGCAGGCTGGAGCTGGGCTGTGTCAGCACTCCAGTGGGGTAAGCCAATACCTTTGAGTAAAGAACTTCGAGTAGTCCGGCCACAGCCTTAAATACCACACCACAAACATGTAAAAAGAGTTTTATTGGTTATATACTGTAGAGCTGACAATGTTCGAGTCAGGAAAGACATGCAGATAAAAGTGTGTGATTACGTTTGGCATGCAAACTAAGAGCACTGTGTAAGAGGTGAGCACCATCTGTATCTGCTATTATGGGCAGCCTTGGGAGGAAAGAGCTGGCTTCCCTCTGAGCATGCTGAGACAGGGAGGATTTTGAGAGGATGAAACAGTGCTGATTGGACACCAAGTTTACTTTAGGAAAATAGGGAATACTGTAACCCTGGAGAAGTAGCTTGACTTGGGTGAGTCTGTGAATATGAAAAGACTTCTTGCATTGTTGTCTTTTAACTAAGCTGTCCCAGCCCAAATATATGTCTGCAAATACAAAAAAATAGATTTCTTCTCTTAAAAATACATTCCACGCAGTCTGGAGTACTGCTTCCCCAAGGCAGGAGCCTGCACTGCATGCTGGATAGCCTAGGAAGATAATCCTTTGGGTGTTTACTGACCATCAGAGGCCTCTGCAAAAATGGCTTCATGTTTCATCATGTGTAGAGCAGTCCACTGGTGGCTGGCCTTGTAGCAGTGTTTGAACCACTCCACAGTGATGTGCAGGGGTGGCAGAGATGAGGTCGTCTAATCAGAGGTAACACCAATATGACTATTGCTTCAGTCTGCAGCTAAGGAATTGTTCATGTCAGTTGTCTCTTGGAGCACCAAGGTGTTGCTACCCTTCCCTGTGCATTCTGCCATTTCCCCTTTTCCTGGAGATACTGTCTGCAAAAAGACATTCCCCTCATCCATGTCCAGTGAGCTGCAGCTTGACAACACTTGGCACTGGTGACTGAATGTGAAGCTGTCCTCTCTCCATACTGCCCGAGCTGCTGGAGAGGCTGTGTTCTGCTCACAGCATTACCAAGGGAAGCTGCAGTGCCATTTCCAGATGCAAAGGAAGCAGCTCCATGAAGTAGCAAGCTGCTGGTCCCCAAGCTGGCATCAGCCTTTTCTGGTGAAAGCTGCTAGCTCCCCAAAAGGGACCAGTCTCTTTGTTTCCTTGGGAGAAGAGGCAGAGCACTGACACACTTCCTCTGTACAGCAAATACATTTACAACTTTGGAATTATCCGAATGCTTGATGCATGGCTTATCAGCATCATCAAGTCCACTGAAAAGCCTGATATATTTATATGCTAAAATTACAAATATTTCTTCAGTGATGGCAATATTTACACATATACTCTATTTTACAGCTGTTCAAAAAAGTGTGCAATTTGAGTAAAACACATTGTGTTTCCTGAAGTCATCACTATAAGATTAACAATACAATCAGCTCCTATTGCACTCATGATTAGAGGGCGTGGCCCCTTTCAGTTTTAAAAAGGGTTTTTCTTTCTCAGATTTCATCTCAGTCGTGGTAAAATAACCCAGTTTACAGTTACTGAATGACATCTATATTTATTACTTGCAAGCAGTGAGAGCAAGCCTGAATTCAAGGTATGTGCTGTAAAATACTGAAGGAAGGACTTAAGGCTGCCTTTAGCCTTGCTTTGTCTTCCTGAGGACAAAGCAGCTGGAAAAAGGAGATTGACTTACTCTGTGAGAAGCACCTGAGGAGAGCAGATAGTGCTGGAGTAGTTGCATTGCTGGGTCTATTGTGTCCATATCTGAGAGGCTCTTACTGTGCAGTGTGTTCAGACAGTACATTTAGAGCAGCAATGACATTCCCTTCAGTTGTCCTCGGCTCTAGCTAAGGAAGAGAGAGGCTCTAGTTGACAGAAGGGGAAAAAAGGCAATTATTGCCACTGGTGTTTGGGTTTTTTTTGCCCTGATTTCAGGAATGTGGCTGCGTTATTGGGGTGAGCTACAGGGCTGAAATTTGATGGGGTAAACTAGAGCTTTGTGACTGGCTGCAAGGAAGCCTATGTTAACATGGTATGTACTGCTGAAAAGATGCAGAGCTTTCATTGCCAGGACTGAAACCAGTTCCCTAGGAATGAGTTTTGGAAGCACTGCATTAAGCTGGAGCGATGCCAGCAACAACTTGAAAAGGAGGGGGCTGGTGAATGTGTCTCTCTCCTGTGGTACTTGAACCATTGTCCTACAGCAGGACAAGGACTGTCACTGTGAGGAAAACCATGAAGTAGATGCTTGGAGCAATCCTTATCTTCTGTGGTGGTGTATGTGCTATGCTGCCTGTCCAGCTGTTGCATTTGACTATGTTTAAAACCATGCTGCCAGTCCAGGATAGCACTGACCCAGGACAGAGAGGAATTTTAAATGCTCTGCTGCTCTGCAGGATTGAACTGCAATGTCAAGAAGGTCAACAGCGGTTCTTCCATAGTGACTACTGCTGGACATATTTTATATAGCAGGACAGCAGCTGAGCAGCAGGCCTGGGAATGTAAACGGTGGTAAATAGTTACTGTGGATGTCTGAAGAGGCATGTATGTGCCAAGGATCTTTTGAGAAGCTAACTCCCATGTTCAGGAAGCAGTTATTGGACGAGGCATTCAAGTTGCTGTCTATGGAATGACTGTACTGGCACGGCAAGGTTTTTCACAGCAACATCTGCAATGTCACAGATGGAAAATGGCTTGAGGTAGCTTGCTTTTTTTTAAGCTAAAGGGAAATATTTCCTCTAACATGAAAATAAGAGGAAAAGAGCCAGAATCTGACATCCTGGGACTGGCAGAGAGAGGCTAGCAAGCAAACATGACCCATGAAAGCACTGCTACAGCATGTGTCACTGCTGGTCAGGCTGAGGTGCTATTTATGAGCTATAAAGGGCCTCAGAGATTGTGTGAAGAGGGAAGGGAAGATTGTATCATTAAAGCAATCACTCTCAGCAACTTTTTTATGGTGGTCCCTACCATGCAGTCACTGTGAGGGAAGTAAGGTGACCAGGGTAGATGTCGCAATTTTGCGGGCTAATTCACAAACCTATTTTAGTTTCACATTGCAAAATACGCACCACTTTTTCAACATGCTCCAATAAACAGGGAGAAGAGTGTGGCAGAGAATTTCAGAAATCTGAATTTAACTGTAAAATTTCTTTAGTCTGAATTTTGAGTTTAAAAGCTTTATCTATTATACTTGATATTTACCCCATTCTCTGCTAGCACTATCATCTCATGAAGTGGTAAGAGATAGTAGCTGATACTCTTAAAACTAAAGTATATTAAAAAAACTTATTAGAGCACCTGCACTTAGTACTAATTTAAAAGCATTATCTTTTTGTGTGTTTTATGCAACCTGACACTTCTACATGTCATAAAATAAAAGGCAATAAAATGAAATGTTAAAAATATAAGTTTGGGGAAAACATAAAACTGCACAGGAAAACAGTTTTTTCAAAAATAAAATCTTTCTCTCTCCTCCATTCAAACTTTATTTTAAAAAATTCCTATCACTGGAATGCTTTCCTTCTATATAAATGTTTTGATAGATGTTTTCCAAACAGCTCTGGTTTTTGGGGTTTTCTTTGTTGTGGTGGGGTTTTTTTGGCTTATTTGCCTCTCACAATAAAGCAAATATAACTAAGGGTGAGGGAAGAAATATGATGCACAGATCTGTGACTATATAGTCAATATAGTCTCACACAATCACCTTCCTCAGGGTAGATGCTGTGTTAATAGCTTCTAGCTGAGCACCACTTGGGGCTACTGTGCAGAGCGGAGAGGTGGTGGCTCCCCAGACAGTTATGCTGTCTTGCATCTATGTCCTGTGGGCATTAACAAGGGAACATACCTGTATATTTACACTGGTCTCTGGCTGGACCTGGATCGTAGCCAAGGCAGATGGGAGAGCTCTGAAGAAGGGCACAGACTATGGCTTGCCTCAGTAGCTCTCCTGCAGCTCAGCTTAGGGTTCAGTGTTGCTATCTCCTCTCTCTTTTTGGAAGAAAGAAGGCCGTTCTGTGCCCCAAGCCAGAAGAAAAGCATTTTCGTGCCTTAGCGCTCAACGGCTGAGAAGGAGCAGCAGAGTTGGTGTCTGCAGAGTGTGATCGACGTAAAGCTTTGGGCGAAAAAGCATGTCAGTCCAAGGCAGCAGGAAGTTTCACTGTTCTGTGAACTGCCGTTTGTTTAGCTCAGTGTAAGATCACAGCCAGTACTAAGTGGGTCTTGCCTCCTGCAAAGTTTGTGGCAGAGACTGAGACCAATGGGAAAGAAACTGCTTCTAAACAACATTTCTGCTCTCCCTCCCTGTTCACCTTCTCCTGTTAGTGCGTAAAGTAACCAGTTGGGAATGTTTTCCTCCTGACCATAGACTGAGGGTGCTGGAAACACAGGTACCAGGGGTGGTCATAACTCAAGCTAATAAGGGTGTTTTAGAAGAATGCAACCTTTCACTAGGAACTGAACACTTTCAATTGTGGAGGTGTGTAGGACAGCTGTCATGGGTGGGTGGACTGTAGTCACAGGGATACTTCTGCGATCTTGTCTAAATGAAGGTGATTAATGAGGAGTTATCTCTTTTCAGGGAGTACCATAATTCAGTTTGAAAGAATGACCACACACTTAAGGTTTCCATATGGAGATAGACCTATCATCCTATGGAGAAAATTCAGATTGCAGGTACAGAGAAGAACAGTGGGAGTCCCCTGAGCAAAGTCTCTGCAGCTGCCTCTTCAGCAATGAAGGAAAATTCAATGGTAAAGCTCCTGTACCTCGCAAAACTGGTTTCAGGCTAGCTGAAGCCTCTGGATTACAATGCAGATGTGACACCTGTGAGCTTGGAAATATCCTGTCTCTTGCTCCACTATGCGGAGTGTTTGCTTGGTGGAAGGGAATACAATTCATCTCCTAGATGTTGTCCAGCAGGAACGGGAAACATCCTATAAGAGAGAACCCCACAGTATCACAGACTGACCAGGACCTGTGGCTGCCTTTGGCAGCATTTTTGCCCTGGGACGACCATCACCATTCTGCTTTTGAGCAGTTAGCCCAAAGCTCATCAGGATCCAGGCCTGATGGCAAGGCAGGTAGAAGGGAAGGGGCAGGATTAGCTTGGAAGACATGTATGTGTTTAAAAACACATGCTCTCTCAGGGTTCAGAATGGAATAAACCCAAAGCAGAATTACTTAGGCCTGCCCCACTAGGCTTTACCATAATCTTTCACTATGCTGGAGCATACCCACCCATCCAGCACCTCCCCAGCCAGGGAGGTGGATTTGGCAAATGGGATTCACAGCACCTGACAGCAAAGATAAGGCTGAGCCGACCTAACACCAGATGTCTACAGAGCACGTCTTCATGTGCAAGGTGCACGCTCCCATTCCAATCAGTGGAGATCTGAGCAAGACAGATCCAGCTGACAAATGATGGTGTCTATGTTATGGTAATCTAAATTCACCCAAGTTTCTGTTCTGTATTGATTGTATCTGCAGAGGAAAAAGAAACACAGCACACCTTCCTCAGGTGCAGATGTCTACACTGAGTCAGATGAATCTCACTGTGATTAATCCCTCTCAGTGACCACACATCTCTGTTGAGTCCCTTTTCTCAGTTACCAACAGGGACTGTATTAATTCATGCTCTGTACTGCAAACATTACTGATTTCTAGATACTGATCTAAGAAGCTCAAGCTAGAACTGTGTTCCCCTGGGCTTTTCATTTTGTGCATCTTCACCAAGAGGAATGACTGCCTGTCTGCAGCCCTGATGCTAACAAGCTGGGGCTTGGTAACGCCTATGAACTTCCAGTAATGTATAAGTTACGCTGAAGGCGGGTTTGAGGTCTTAAGATATTTCCTGCTGGGGATGATGTGTAAAATGGGAAGACCCTAGTTTAACTCTTGCAGCCTGTAATCTGTTTTTAGTGCTGGCAGTCAGAGCCTGCGGGGTTGCATACTGGAGAAGCTCTGAACCACAGCCAACAAACGTTTTGCGTTGTCATGCCATGGACAGAATTCCACTGCTGGAGCCAGGTGCCCCACAGTGCTGGGTTAGGTGCCTAAATCCCTACAAATTCAACAAGAGATATTTTGTTAGCTAAATTAGGATTCACAATGGCAACACGCTCAGCTCTGGACAGCTACACAAGCAAAGAGGAAATGTCAGGAAAAAAAGAAAGTCAATCTTTCATATGTATGTGTGTGTGTGTATATGTGTGTATATATATATTCATATATATATATATCTGTAATGTCTTTGACTTAGCACCAGTAAGTAATGAAGTAATTTATTTGTAGCTCTGGAAACACAATATCTTGTCTTCCTTCCAGATTAGAAATTCTGCTGTGATTTAGGAAATAACAAATAGGAAATAACAGTAGCATTATTAATCCAAAATTGTCTATATATTCATATATATATATATATATATATATTCATATATATATATATATAAAAGCATAGCTGTGCATTTAGGACTGAAAGTCTGAAACGCTGCCTGGAAACCTGTTGCCCCTTTACAAATGAAGGAAGCTGGAATTCACATATTTTCATATCTCAGCAAGTAAGTCAAAATCACCATAACATGAGCCATTTTCTGCTTCTCTGTGTAGCCAGAAGTGCATGTTTAGGAAGCAGAGGAGCAGGTGTGTAGCAGCAGATCACCACCACAGTGGTACAGCAGCCAGCTGAAGGGGGCAAGTCAGATGCTCTGATCTCTTCTCCCCAAATACTTTTTTTCCCTCCATCCCTGATTGTCCAACACAAAATGTGAGGCTGGGGATGACTAGACACAGTGCCTCTTATTCCCTGGAGAAGGTATCTAGCCACAAAGCCAGATGAAACAAGTTAAATTAAGAACAGAAAAATAAGGTACTGCTTTTTTTTTTACCAGCAATGGGAAATTAGTAGAATAATTTACCAAAGAGTTACAATAGACGCTTCACCTCTGGGAACGGCTGAGTCAAGACTGGATTTATCCTAAAAGATTTACCCTCATTTGCACAGAAGTTCTCTGAGTTATGTTACTGGGAGATCAGTTCAAACATTGGCCTCTCGCCTTGCAAATCTAATTCTCTTCTGGATGGTCCTTGAATTCACATACCTGCTCCTCTGCTTGGACACCCAACTGTGCACAGGGATTGGATTCGGTGTCCTGCAGGTCCATCTTGGAGGCTGGCCTTTTCCCTGATGTGGCAACCTGTGAGAGATACTCGGAAGAGCCATGTTGTTTTCTTCTGGAACTGGGCACAAAGTCTTTGTTTTCCTCCTGTAGGAAGAAAAGTAAGAGGACTGGGACTCAGGAACTGTGAATGGGGTCTAGAATAGAACTGGCTTCCCAGCACTTGTACACCTGCAGTGTGAGGTACTGGTTTGATTCCCTTTGGCAAAGGAGGGCATGCAGGCCAGCTCTGGGATGTCCTCACTTTTGTGCTATTTCATTGTTTGTTTTTTTTAATTCATCCATTAATTTCTGACATACAAGTTCTAGGCACAGAGACTGGATTTGCTGTGTCCTATGTTTGGCTGACTGACCCATGCATAAGTCTGTGCATAGCTTGCCTTGGCCTGACTGGCTTTCTGGGCCCATGATGCTAGTATCCAGAGACCCAGGAGCCCAGCTTTGACAAAAAGGGACTGTCAGGGCTGTTTTTGGCACCACGTCTTTTGATAATTCTGTACACAGCTGTGAGAGTTACAAAGGTGAGGAGTACCTGTCACCCACCAACTTCACCTGGGAAGCTAAACATGGAAGTGCTTTTGCTATTGCTATCACTGTTATTGCTAGTTATTTGACTGGAAAACCTTGTATGATAACATCATTATACACAAATTTCTGACAAATTTTGTAAGGCATTGTCAAATTAATATCAGAAAAAAACAGAAATTATTACAATGATGAACTTACCTTTTCTTTAGGGAAATACAATAATGTAAGCAGTTATCAGACAAACAACAAAGGTTGCACTGCACTACTGAAGGCTGTGTTGGCTCTGATTGCTTTGGGAATGGCGTCATGTTTGCTGAAACAAACTCTGTAGCGCCATGAAGGGGATTGTTGGGCAGTTGTAAGGCTTAGTTCTGTAATGATTCTCTTGCCAATGGAACAAAACCAACAGAATAAACTTCTGGGAGGTCAACTCCTGCATTTTTTGCAGCAGGTCTGCACCTAAGTGGCTATCTATTTGGACAACTGGTCCATGGATACAAGAGAGGCCCTGGACCTTCCTGTAGTGGGAATGAACAGTACAAATGGCTTCCTGGAAGACCTGGTCCTGGAAGACTTGGTCCTTCAGAAACACAGTGACAGAGCACTGGTGGTATACAGGGTATGAAGCACAAACTCAGCCCTAGAAGGGCTGTTTACAGGAGGAGCAAGAGAGATATAATGTCCTGGTTAAGCCTCAACTCTCACTTTATTTAGGAGACAGCGTACCAGGGTCAGCCATGAAAGCATGCTCTTCCTACTCTTAAGTCATCAGGAATGGCACCTTCATTTACAAAGAGAAGAGGTTATGAGGCCAAGGTCACCTGAGCCCTGGGAACACAATAATGTGATCTCATTGATGAAATAAATTAGAAATAGGTGTCTATGGCCAAATTAACCCTTCTGGGAGCCTAGGAAATATGGACTATGAGAACAAGAGAGCAGACCATGGAAGGCATGGCAGGGGTCGGACAAGCCAGCTGAACCAAGAGAGACCAGAGACTTTATCTCCAAGAGATACCTCAGCAATATCAAGATGACACTATCAGGAGGAAGAAAGAGACAATTCAAACACAGTCCAGGAGCCATCTGTCATGGACAGTCGTTGCCATAGAGATAAGGCTCCTGTGAGCACAATGAAACTTGATACCAGAGGTCTGTGAGAGGAGGGCTGAGAGAAGAGGGCTTGCAAAGTCCTCATTAACAGAGAAGGTTCTTGAGGCAATAAAATGCCCCCATGTTTTCCTGCCATCCATTGACATGATCTAGATCCCCCACAGAACATTTCAGCATTGTGTAATGGCACATCACCAGTGTACTGACTGTTGTGCTGGTGACAGTGAAAATGATAGCAAAGCTGCAGGTCCTGAAGCTAAAATATGGCTTCAAGCGTCACAGATGTACACCTTGATACATGTCCTTAGAAGGAAAGATGGTCCCACAAAGTAAGTGTTGTGACACTAAGTACTGCATCCCCACTCAGGGGGAAATACACCTTCATAGTGCAAGAATCTGTGACAACTCTAGGAAGCTTAAGTAACTGAGCAGAGCTTGGATGGGATTTCTTGAGGTTCACAGAAAAAATGAGTGTTGACAAACTGGGATTGTGTTATGTGGAAAGACCAAAGGACTTAGTTCTGTAATGATTCTCTTGCCAACCAGTTGGTGAGACAGGATAAGGAACTGCAACTAGAGCCCTACGATAAAAGGGAGATGTGAGCATCAGTAACTCTTCAATAAACAAGTAGGACACTAGGCTAGGTCACACAATGACCTAGAACTGACCATGCCCCTGACCAACTGTGAACCAGAGATCACGATGGTGGGCCAGGCTGTTTTATGCAGTGAGGGTGAGAATTTTAAGCTAAGTAGTCAATCATCTTCCTGAACCTGAACAGCTTACTAAGGGATGTGTACCTCTGTCTCTTTCTAATGTCTTTAGAGAGAAGGACACTGGGTGAGCACACGGTTACTCCATCCTGTTGAGCATCTGATAATGCCAGTCCAATCGCTGTGCTGTCAGGCAGCATGAAGTCTGAGACTGCCAAACCAGGTACACTGGTCCGAAGAAGATTTCGCAGAGGAGGAGCTAAGCTTGGGTAGGCAGGACATTCAACCCTGCCCCCACCCACACGTGCAGCAGAGACAGAGAGATGCAAAACAGTACATTCTGGTACTGTAGCTTTACTCTGATCCCAGTCAGTGCTTAGCCCAGCACTCCTGTGGTACCATGAGATGTGATGGAGACACTGAAGAAAGTCAGCTGGTTACAGACAAAAGCTTGGGCTGCTGCTCTAAAGCTAGAAGGCCCCACCCCACCCCCTTCTCACTGCAACAGTTGGGACAGAATACAACAGAGGCCTTGGGAAAAGTTACTGACATCCAAGGATTAAAACACAGCAAACTGCTGTGACAGACGGCTTAAGGGGACGCTCATGCAGATTCACCAAGAGTGAAATGGTGGGGGGGAGCACTTACTCAAACCCCAAGCAAAAGAGAGAAGGAGTAGGTGTGTAAAAGAGAGAGAGAGAGAGAGAGAGAGAGAGAGAGCGCGCACATCCTTGGATACTGTAAGGGAGAATTTTCCATAAGATCTCTCCCCACCCCCAGAAGGTACATGTACCAGAAGAAAAGCCTACCTTTAGATTTTAAACTAACTTCTGTGGTGCAGAGCCCACCTCCACAGCACTCATATTAATATCACAGGCATGGGATGTGGGGCAGTTACCTTGCACTGCTGACTGCTCGCCTGCCAATGTCTTTAGACTAATTCTGGTACTGCAAATTTTCAGCAGTCACACAGAATCGCAGAATGGCCAAGGTTGGAAGGGACCCATACAGTACTTTTTTATTTGTTTTTTTTCTTTTGCTCTTGAAGCTGTATTTAGGGGTTTTCCGTAGTCTCTGGAGAGCAGCAATCATTATAGGCTAGAGGAAGTCAATCCTTTCCAAAACACACATAACCAGAGACAAGAATCACAACTTGCCCTTTTGTAGTTCTGGGGGTTCTCTGCACTGTCAGATCCATGTTGGCTATGCGTTTTGCCTGCTTCAGCTGACAGGTGGTCTGGTCTCAAGGGGAAGAACAGAGCAGGTTTTCTGTGAGCATGTCTATACTCTTGTGGATAGGGCATACACCTGGAACTCCTTCCTCCTCCTCCCCCAAATGCTGGGGTGAGCTTAGACCCTCCCTGTTCTATTTTCTGCTGAACTATTACTCAGAATACCTGTGGGAACTGTATTTTTACACTGAGCACAATGCTGGGAGTTATCGAGCACACCTGGGGAATGGGAGCCTCAGGCAATATAGGACTCTAGACTATGTATTCAAATTGCATTAGAAGCTTGACAGTCAGTTCAGACATGGGGACAGTCCTGGAGATGTACAGCAGCAAAATTTGGAGTAGCAAAGGGATTTGAGCAATCTCAGGTGACTCAGCAAATTAGGCGGGCAATTGCCTAGACTACAGTCTGGTCTAGGGCATGTTATGTTCAACTCTGTCCTATGTGTGCAAACATCTGTAGTTTTGATTAAAGGTTTTCTGGTGCTGCATACCTATGAAAGGGAGTGTGAACATGTCATGTTCACAGAATCAAAGAATCACAGAATGGCCAAGGTTGGAAGGGACCTCGGGAGACCATCTGGTCCAACCCCCCCTGCTCAAGCAGGGTCACCTACAGCACATTGCCCAGGACCGTGTCCAGACGGGTTTTGAATAGCTCCAGCGAAGGAGACTCCACTACCTCTCTGGGCAACCTGTCCCAGTGCTCTGTCACCCTCACAGCCAAGAAGCTTTTCCTCAGGTTCAGATGGAACTTCCTGTGGTTCAGTTTATGCCCGTTGCCTCTTGTCCTGTTGCTGGGCACCACGGAGAAGAGACTGGCCCCATCCTCGTGACACCCTCCCTTCAGATACTTGTACACGCTGATGAGCTCCCCTGTCAAGTCTTCTCTTCTCCAGGCTCAACAGGCCCAGCTCTCACAGCCTTTCCTTACAGGAGAGATGCTCCAGTCCCCTCGTCCTCTTTGCAGCCCTCCGCTGGAATCTCTCCGGTAGCGCCCTGTCTCTCCTGTACTGGGGAGCCCAGAGTTGGACACCGTACTCCAGGTGGGGCCTCACCAGGGCTGAGGAGAGGGGCAGGATCACCTCCCTCCACCTGCTGGCAACACTCTGCCTGATGCACCCCAGGATACCCTTGGCCTTCTTGGCCACAAGGGCACATTGCTGCCTCATGCTGAACTTGTTGCCCCCCAGGACTCCCAGGTCCTTCTCTGCAGAGCTGCTTCCCAGCAGGTCAACCCCCAGCCTGTACTGGTGCCTGGGGTTACTCCTCCCCAGGGGCAGGACCCTGCGCTTGCCTATGTTGAACTTCAGGAGGTTCCTCTCCACCCAGCTCTCCAGCCTCTCCAGGTCCCGCTGAATGGCAGACAGCACAGCCTTCTGGTGTGTCAGCCACTCCTCCCAGTTTTGTGTCATCAGCAAACTTGCTGGGGGGGTGCGGTGCACTCTGTCCCTTCCTCCAGGTCGTTGATGAATATGTTGAACAAGACTGGAGCCAGCACTGACCCCTGGGGGACACCACTAGCTACAGGCCTCCAACTTGACTCTGCGCCATTCACCACAACCCTCTGAGCTCTGCCATCCAGCCCGTTCTCAATCCACCTCACTCTCCACTCATCTAGCCCCCACTTCCTGAGCTTCCCTAGGAGGATGTGATGGGAGACAGCGTCCAAAGCCTTGCTGAAGTGAGGGCAGACAACATCCGCTGCACTGCCCTCATCTACCCAGCCGGTCATTCCATCCGAGAAGGCTATCAGGTTGCTCAAGCATGAATTCCCCTTGGTGAATCCATGCTGACTACTCCTGATCACCTTCTTGTCCTCCATATGCTTAGAGATGCCATCTCTCTCTCTCTCTCTCTCTCCAGGTCAAACACCATGCCAGAGAAATACTGACGTCTTCATCAGGAGCACAAAGCCCAATAGAAACAGTCTGTGTGTGGTTTGAAATACATTACATGAACAAAATGATGGCATGGAAGCTCTTTGGAGGAGCTTGAGAAAAGCTGACTGCAGTCACTAGAGGGAGCTGATCAGTAAGCTGCAGTCTCCATTCATCAGCAACTACAGCTTTGCTTCCACAGTTTCTGGAACTTCCAACGCAGCGCACCAAAGAGCCACAGCTTCTGTAGCGCAGTAGTGCCCGGAGCTGCTGAAATCTCATGTAGCTTTATTGGGAAAATTTACTTACATCAGCGGTGAAACATTTAAGACTGAAATTACAGCGTGTGCTTGGGCAGCCGGTGCTGCCAAAGCAAGGAAGTTGCCTCTTACAGCTTCCTTGCAAAATTTCTGTGTGCTCCCTTTGGGTCAATCCCAAAGGACAGCCTGAGCGGCAAGATCCTAGCCTCCAGCTTTCTTGAGCCTCCTGCCATGCTGTAGCGGGGGGGGGGGCGGTGGGGTGGGGTGGGTGGTCAGACCTAGCTGAATATTTCAGGGATAGGAGAGAGAGAAAGTGAGATGTATTTTGCCAGAAACAGCACAAAACCTGTGTTTTCCAAATAAGACTTTTAAGGCAATTTCAGATTTTGCATAGTGGAGGCAGAGACAGGAGGCAGCGATGCCTTCTCAGAAAATGTGAATTTGCAAAGTTGCTAATAGTGTTATAGCAGGGCTCAGTGGTGCACTAAAGGTTTGGACTTCTGCCAGAGAAATAGCTGTTTCTCTATCAGAAACATAAATGCCAGTGGAAAGAGACTGCTTATGATATGAGGCATATTATAAGGTTGAAGATTTTCTTCAAGGGAGAGACTTTGTTTTCCCATGTGTTACCAGGCTTTGGCTATAGCCTTCCAAAATTAGTGATTACCACAAACATAAGCTATTTGGAGGAAGTTTTTAAAATGCCTCAAGCATTTTGTTCCTTGTGATTTTATTTAGTCTCAAAATATTTGTATTTAGTCTCAAAATATTTGTAGTATTTCTTAAAGATCAAGTTGCAAAAGTCTTATTCCTGCATAAGAATATGAACTTGCAGGTTTGCAGTGGATGCTCCTATGTAACCTACACAGGGCTCAGGAGTTTCAGGCCCTTCAGATTGCCAGACAATAATTTTTCCAAGGGGATATGCAATATTCTGAGCTGCCCAAATATGTGGAATTTCGGCTGCTCTTGTAGCTCCAGTCTTTCAGGGTAACTTCATGCTCCTCATTTACAAGCAAAAACTAAATATACTTATTTTACCACCAAGAATTCAGATTTCTGACTCTATAGTGTCAGGATGAGATTTGTTTTTAAAGGTAAGATGCAGACAGGCACATAACTCAATAAACTCAATATTCAAAAGCTCTGTGTGAACTAACCACACAGCTACTTTGCTGACTGCTTGTCACTGCAGATAATGGGCAAGGCTGGAAACCAGCTAATTCATCAGAAATACTCAGGCATGCAGCAGTCAGGATGCTCTGCAAGGTACACTTCAGCTGTCCTTGTGCACACTGCCTGCATAGCAATCGAATTTGATCAAATAGTAACCTTGGGACCACCCAGAGAATGTACTGCAGAGCTACACTAGTGCATTTACTCAGCTCGGGATAGGTTGTTAGCAGCTAGATGAAAAAAACAAAATGTAAGCGCATAAAGTTTTGCCTTCCTGGGAACTAGTCCCTAAGCCAACAATTCAGACTTCTGGGGTTAAGAGAGGCCCAGCGCTGAATATCCAACTTCACAAGCACATAAACTACCATTATGTAAAGGGGCATGTTGGTTCCCCTTGGATTCATGAAAGAGAAGTAAAGACTGCCAGCAGCCCAAGAGTGACTATGGCCAGGAGGAAGATCTTGGCTTGGGCTCTCTTTCCCATTGGTAATGAAGTCTAGGACAGAAGTGGCGTTGCATACTTCCTTCTTCCCACAATTTCCATCAGCTACTTAAAGCACTGTGTCTGTGGTTATCCCATTCCTAAGTGCCCCCTTAATACAGAGGATTTAGGGTGATACTGAGGCTGATGAATGCCACTCCCAGAGCCAGACCCTGTCATGTACAGTTCCCTGCTGTATCCTTAGTGTCCAAAGGCAGTTGGAAGGCATACCTGTACTTCATAACACCAGGCAATAGATTCTCTGCAAAGCAAAGCAATGGTACGCATTCTTCTGTGCAAGTCACAACCCGAGAAGTGAAATGAACACTGAAATGGTTTTGCAAATCTAAAACTCCTTTCATAGTTTCACCACTTGAGCTTTGTCAATGCCAGTCATCTAGGTGTGAATTTGTCTCCTCTGCCCACCAGCCCTATCAGATCTTTCGTCTGGGCCCCTTCACAAGACTGAGAATGGAAGTGAGTGCTGAGATCAACTCCAAGTAAAGAGTAAAGACAGTGGATGAAGTGGGAATCAGAATGTGGTTTAACAGACTGGAGGGTCACTCAGTGCCTATGAGCTATTTTAAAATATGCTGGAGTCTGCAATGCTTTTCAAAGTGATCTTTTCAGACAGACTGTCTCCTTTTGTCAGCTGCACTTTGAGGGACTCCTCTCATTAATAACACCCAAAAGAACAGGAAAGGAGCACAGCTATCTCTGTGGCTCTAGTTTTTTCTCAGGTGGTGTACTGATATAGACCAAGAAGGAGGGAACAGCCCTGTGTAACCAGTCACCATTCATCTGTGGTCTGTTTAGGAGTTGCCCAGGAAGCATTTCCAGACCAGAGCCCAGATCTGGAATCTGGTTTCACACGGGGAGAGACCATGCAGGCAATATGCAGCCCCAACTAAAAGGAGCTATAGCTTCAGACTGAGGCGGAACCCTGTTAAAGTTTACTCATCTTACTCATTTTTCTCTGCTACACCAAGCTGACAGTGGCAGGCAAAGCTGTTCTGAAAAGCATATCATGTCCTAAATGAGCTGTGACTACGTCTTCTCTGATCCTGATGAGACCAAATGGATATGGCTATATAATTATTACAAGATCAGGGCAGATTTAATTTCAAGAAGTCTATTTGGGTGCTTCGCACATGAGATGCTCCACTGGAGTTAACAGGAGCTGGGAGAGGGCCGCACTTAGGGAAATAATCTATAAGAATTTTAAATCTTAAAAGATTTAAAGATTTGAAAGGTACCTTAAAACAAACAGAAAACTTCAAAAATCTGCTCAATTGAGAGAAAGCCAACAGCGCTTAACATAGGACACTTACAGGTAATGCAGTTCGGTGCCACGTAGAAGCCACTGTAGGATCACTGACGTAGCTCCTACGTGTTAGCAGTTCAGATGCACTTAAGTTACTTTTGGTCCTTCGGGAGCCCAGTTCGGGGTCATTCCAGGAATCAGCTATGGCACTGATTCGTGCCGAGTTCTGCTCAAGTGAGTTTGTTCTCCCATTGCTCCCTTCAGTTTCAGAGAGATCTACAGAAGATCTGCACGTGTTTGTAGTACTTGAAGCTGCATTTTTCTCCACTTTTGTTTGAGAGTCATCCAGGGAATGTAAGCCTTGTCTTGTTCTCCAAGAACTTCTCACAGTGACATGTTTTGTTTCTGATGAAACAGTATCTAAAGAGCCATGGTTCTTCCAGCTGATTGTCTCCGAAGACGGCTCGCTGTTCTTTTCTGGGAGTTCAGATGGCTTTATCATAATACTGCTTCTTGAGACCACTGTTTCTGCTCTGCTTCTCAGTGCTACATCTCCAATTCTGTCTGTTTCAGAGAATTTCAGAGCACTTTTATTAATTGATATCTCAAAGGGTGTGGGGAGATTGTTAGTTACTGGTGAGGGTTCATTTGGAGCAACTCTGATGTTGCTGGTGGTAACATGCCTTTCCTTTGTTGCTACATCTGCACTGGTCCTTGAAGTTGTTGGCTCAGAAGGGAAGATTGTGATACTGCTTGTCATTTTATTTGTCATGGTTTTGAAAATACTTTTCTGTTTTTCTGACTCTGCCTCAGAAACAGTCCCTCCCATTACTGCTTTCATGTCTTTTTCAATGATTGCAGGTTTAATGATGGCTTTTGATCTCAGAGCTTCTCTTGGGCTGAATGACCTTCTGGATTTAAATCCTCCAGTGCTGGAATCTGATGTTTTTATAGATTTTGTGGATTCTTCATCATTTACAGTATTCTTGTCATTTTCAAAAACAGATGCTCTAAAAACTCCCCTGCAATTGGAAAACTCTTTGGAGTTGGCTTTCTTTCTTGTCTCAAAGTCTGTTTGGGTGGTTGCTTTTTTGCTTCTTCCTGTTTCTTCATCTGAATTAAGTTTTTCATGAATACTTTGGATGGTTTGGGAGTCTGTTTTTAAGCTAGCATTTATATGATGTGTTGTTGAAGACTGTTCTGTGTCTTCTTTATCAAGACCTGTAAGAATCTGCAGAATGTCTTCTTGACTCCTTGAGCAATGTGAACGCTTTATTAATGTTGAAGGCTTCATATTTTCAAGTAAAGTGTCCGTGAAATCTTTCTCTTGGGAGCTTATTGCTTTTTTAGCCCTCACCTCTGAGGGTTGCCTGTGAGATGCAGCAAAGGTGTTTGTTCCTTCTGCTTTAGAGCTGATGGAGTCTGATGCTGATGTTTGGGAAGAGAGGTGATACCTATATGCTGAAGCCGTTCCATTGGAAGAGGTGTGATTACCCTTGGGGAGGAGCATATCCACGGAGTAGTCAGCAACTTCTGCCTGACTTGTTTTCAGCTTCTCAGGCAAAGAATACACTGATTCTCCTTTGCCTGATTTTTCATCCCGTACATCAGAGTTGGTTTGGCAGTTGCCACGGAGCATCTGATACGGCTTTTCAACCTTGGATCTTAGGCCAGTGTCATTAACAGCTTTGGAAGGAGCTTTCCAAGATTTCTGCTCATGTGCAGCAGGAGGATATCGACTGAGGACGGATGGTTGCTCTTTTGATCTCTTTCCTTCATTCTGTGTGACACAGCCTTCCTTCTGACCAGATGAAAAAGTGGAAACTAAAGATCTCTCTTCTAGTCTTTTCGTATCTGTTGCAGTAGCATCTAGAAGGGTAGATGCACTGGATGCCTTTCCTGCTTTCCTGTTTATTAAGCTTGGACTGGGTACTTGCTTACCGCTGTGGCAATAACTGTCATTACTGAAGGAGAAATCTCTGTTCCGCATTCTTTCCCGTCGGTGCTGAGGTGAAAGTTCCCTTGGTTTGTGCTTGGTAGCTGTCAGATCAGCTGTGATACCTCTGTATTTTGGTCTGTCATGTTTCCCCCTGCTAGAAAAGCTCGTATCTTCATTTTCTACCTCTCCATTCTCCAGATCTTTCTGTTTCTTTATTTGCATTTTTATTTCTTCTAGTTGACCAATCAAGAGTTTGTTTTTATTCTGTTCACTTAAATAACTGTCTTGCAGGTCATTGTTTTTGGCTCTCATTTTTTTAAGTTCTTCTTCTAAAGATTCAAAATGCTTGATCTGAGTTTTAAGTTTCTCGATTTCTTGGGTGAGATCTTTCACTTTGTTGTCTTCCTGATTTTTATTCTTTTGGTTTTCTGATTTATTCCTGGTTTCATTTTCTACATGTTTTAGGTAATCCACACTTCCCTTCCTCCTGGTTTCTTTAGAGGGCAATGCAAGAGACAAGTCATCTTCAATTCTCAAGTCATTTCTGTCCAAGAGATTATTTGATGATCTTTCTAGCAAGTTGGATGCATTTCTAGTTTGATCTGCCCTATTTAGTTTATTGTTTTGCTCTAGTTTCTGGGTTAGCTCCTGGATTAACTTTTCATTCTGCTTTTCTCTTTCATTAAAATGTTTTCTTTCACTGATAAAGCTCAGTGCTAAGGATTTCAGTTTTTCTAACTCACCTGTTAAGCTCTGCTCAGTTTTATCTAGCCTATCTTCAGACGCTTCAAGTTCTTTCACTTTTACTCTAAGTATTTCCAATTCTGTAGATATCTTTTTGGTTAAGTTCTTTTCTTCATTAAGGCTAAGACACAGCTGGGTACAGTCATTCTTGCTTCTGCCGAATGCTTCCTCCAGCTTTTCCAGTTCTGCCATTCTCTTCTGAAGTCGTTCAATTTCTGATTTCAGCTCTCGGGTGAGGTTTTCTTCCTCTTCAAGTTTTTCTTTCATTAACCGGCAAAGCTCTTCTGCCTTCTTAATTTCTTCATCCTTGCCTTCAATCTTCAGCACTCTTTTCCGCAGGGCTTCAACATCAGCCAGCATGCTGGAATTGCTGCCTTCTGCCTGGATAACTTTGTCCTGGAGGTCAAGCAGCTCATCCTCTGCTTTCTGGAGATTTTTGGTTGCTTCCTCCAGTTCATCAAGACGGCGACTAAGACTCTGCAATTTGAATCGTAGATGGCGATTCGAGGTTTCCTTGTAACCTGTGAATTCTGCCATGTTTATTTTTTATTCCTTCTGGGTGAAAATCTTAAATATCTTGTTTTTTCTTAGTATTTTACAGTTTCTTTGGACAGAGGCAATCTCACCCTGAAAGAAAAAAAAAACTTAAAATGAACATAAGAACTCAGAATATAATTCTTCTCAGAATACAAATATTCACATAGTCTTTTAATTAAACGTGTTTCTGAGTGCTAAATCAGGCTCATAATAGAAACAAAACCGGAAAACAGCCATAGTCCATTTACTCTGGTGATGCAGACTATTTCTAAAAATAGCCCATTACTGATAGTTGAAGGAAGGAAGTAGCATCATATGCTGACTTACACGGAAGCTGCGTGCAATCTCCAGTGTCCCTTCACACTCAGTATGCAGGGGTTGATATAAGCCTGCTTGTGCGCAGGCTCCAGGACTGGTGAGGTTCATGTATCTATCTACATGACTCAGGTCCCTGTATGAAATATCCATGTAGGTATTTCTCTTTGAAGCACTGTACAAGTCTCTAGCAGACTCTTTACAGGTGGAGATTCAGAGACCATAAACAAGATCTAGAAACTAGAAAATACAAATGCTGTAGATTGAGAAAACTGGTACAACCAATACAAAGGGAAGAATGAAATGGCCATATACTTCTTACGTATGGCAAAAGCACAGGAAGATGATTTTCCCCAAATAACCTATCAAGAAAAGTGAAGAAGGTACAAACCGTAAGGAACTAGGAACTAATGCTGCTGTGCAGAACTCACTGTGTTTCTGGCACAGGGACTGCCAGTAAGGCCTGTCCCCACCACATGATGCTGAGAGAACTGACTCCTAAATGGTCAGAGCCCAGCCTAAGGCAGTGCCCAGCAATGCATCCATCATCTTTGCTCTTGACACGCTGCTTTTACAGTAGCTCAGACTTCACAATCACAACACCAAGAAGAGACAGCTAATACTATGAGCCAGTTCTGTGTGTGTAAAGTGGGAACAGAGAGGAGCTGGTTTCCTTTTGAACCTGATGAGTGCTGTATGCCTGGGTGCAACCTTGATTTGCAGAGATACAGGAACAGAAAAGTTGCCTTATGCCTCCGCTAAAGTATTGCTGCAGTGGAGCCAGATGCAAATTGCTGTCTGCAGGGCTGCTGCCATCTACTGGGAGACTAACAAGAGGGATCCCCAGCACCCACTGCACCCCCCCCCCCCCACACCCTGGCCTTGGACTCCACAGGTGGAAGGTATGATAGCTGCTGCCAGCCAGGCACTGCCCATCTCTTCCAGTATTTCTACTGAAGCCCAAGTTACTAGGCAAAAATCTTTAACTGGATCACGGTCACATCCCCAGGCTACTGTATCAAGGGAGTTTTGAATTTCTCCTTCCTGCTTCAAAAGCTGTCAGTGCCCTCAGTTCCTACCCACTTGCCCACCAAGGAGACGAGCAGTTGCAAGTGCTAACACTTCTCCTCCTCGTTGCCACTGACAATGAGCAGTGATTATGAGACCAGCAGGCACTGATGCACTAGACATAGCTCTCCCAGCTTGGCCATCATCTGTGCAATTCTTCAGGATGGCAGGACCTTTTTTAAGCAGCCGCTCTGTGCCTGGCAGCGAGTAGTGGCAGGGGGGACTGCTGGAACCTGAGTGGGCCAGAACAGTTGACAGGAGGGTCTGAGATCCCCCTCTGGCTCCCTGAATTAGCATCATCATATCCTGGATGTGAGTTTCATCTCCAGCCCCACACTCATGTGTGCAAGGGGCTAACACAAACACATGGAGAAGGTGACTGCAGCTCTTCCACCCGCTCCCTTGCTTAGCCTGCCTGTGTTGATGCAGGACTTGGCCTCCAACATTATTGTTGGAGCTTGCTACAGAGGAAACACAAGTTTCCTATTTCACAGTGCCAAGAAGGGAAGAGCAGGATGTGGGGAGGAGACGGCGCTGTTAAAGGAGACTGCAGTGCCCTGACATGAAGGCTTTGATTGAGGTGATTCATTTCCTGCCAGGCAGAGGGACCAGTGGTGCAAACAGCCACCTGCAGTGCACTCCCAGGCACCCTCCAGCTCCTCTCTGCAGGGACCATTCCCACTGTGGGGCTGACCACTATATTTGTTCTGGCTTTGACACACCAGGCAGCCTAAAGGAGCAGCACAGAAAAGCAAATGGACAGGAACCTGAGTTCAGCTGTGTCCACTGGCATGGCAGTGGACACTGAATGCATGTCCAGCTCCCTCGTCACAGTAGTCACATCACCCCACAGTCACACTCCCGGGCCACATTACCTTGTGCTGCTCACAAATTGTAAAGACCATGACCTACTTAGCGACTGCCTGCTTTGGCTGCAAACAGGGAAGGCCGTTTGCCTACCTTATCAGATCCAGGCAGGATCCCTTTGAGAAATGTCACCCGAATGTCACAGGAAAGGATAAAATGAACAACCGCACAGCGCCCTGAAAACAAAACCCTGTTCCCAGTGTGCCTTGGAGGAGGGAGTTAATGGTTAACTCAGTATCAGCCACTGTTCAGGAAGGCCCCAATCAAAGCCTTCTAGCCAGCAAATAATAGCAGCTGCGTTTCAGGCTCATTTTCAGAATGCCAGTTTGCAGGCAGCACGACAGATACAGGCTTGGGCCTCTCAGCAGTGTCTGTTTGCAGCACTGATTTTCAGGCAGTGGCTCATGCAGGCCACTTCTCCTGTGCTCAGCAGGAGACGGGGTGAGGTGCCAGTGAGCACTGCATTAGCAGGGGGAACAGCTCTGGTTTCCAAGTGACGGGCTCCTCGTCCTGTGTGGATGCCAGAGGCTGCTCAGAATCCCAAAGGAGAAGCTGATTTAGGAGGAAACATTCAATTCTTTGAAAGTGAAGCTGAAAATTCAGCTCAGCAACTGTTTAAGTAGTGGGAGAATGACAGATCCCTTGGCAGAAGAATGCCAGCTTGAATACCAGAAGACAATCCTCTAAGGCCAAAGAGACCTTCTGAGGACTTTGCTTTCCCCAAAAAACCCTTTCAGATCTCTAGAATCAAGGTTTCTCCTATGTAGCCCACAGGTCCAGAGACCACGTGTCTTTGCAGCCAGTCGTTCCTACCAAATTCACTGTTCCACTTAGCAGCAGTCTTGGGTCACTGGAGGTTTTAGCATTCATAGACTTTGAAGCCTCCTGATTAGCCAAATCTTCCTTGCAACTTGTAGAAGACAACCCAAGTTGTCCTCACTGCCAGTGCTGTCAGCGGCTGAGAGAACAAAACACTCTGCTAGGAGTACACCTTGAATTTCTATTTTGACTTCTTTCTTTCAATTTTTCAACTGGAACCAGTGGTGCCTGGTTCCTGTAGTCTCTGCTAAATTGGCTATTGCATAACAAACATCTAAACACAACAAATAAGAAATAATGACCCCCCCCCCAGGTGCACCTACTGTTACCATACAACTCTGGCTTCCCCACAATACATCTTTACCAGGAGCATAAGGAAATGTGCTCTAACTGGTTCACTCAAGAACTGCAAGCTCTGATGCTAGACTGCACTGATTCTAGTCTTATGAAGGCAGACCCAATCACTAATTGCTAACACCCAACAAACGGGGAATCTCAATGCCTGTGAGACCCCAAATACAATCTCAACACCAGATGGCATGAAGTTTCACCTCCTTAGGGGGCTAAAATATTTTTCTCAAAACTTTTTGGGGCAACCTATGCATAAAATAACTACTCTGAGAGACATCAGATGGGGAATAGTTGAAAGATCTCAAAAAAAGTCGTACAGGACCTTTTCTAAGATAAAGAGGCCCTGTGAGGTATCAGAAATATATGTATCCTGTAGCAAACTTTTCCAGGATCAACGGGATCCTTGGAGTCTTCAGCTAATTTACTAATGGACTTTGTGTGGCTCATCAGATCACAGCTTAACTGCAGAGCCCTTCTACCTTCTATACAACCCACAAATACCTTGAGCTTTGCAGAAGCTGCATGGGAATCCCCTCCTCTGACCCTGCTGAGCTCCACAAGAACAGGACTTTCTTCATATTCCAGCAGTACAGCCAAATCACTGACACACACACACACACACACACACACTCTCTACCAGCCTAGAGCCACTGCTCCTTTTCTATCTGGCCCAACCTTTCCTGTAGAAATGACTCATAACAAATGATTTCAGAAGATTCCTCCAAAAACAAAGCAGTGTGAGAACTGCTTCAAAGCCAAAGTCCCCTTGTTATATTTTACTAATGCATCGCAAGTCATTTAATGTAGGAATACAGTGAACTGCTATTCTTCCAGACAGATAAACCCTAAGACAATCAACTTACTTTGTCCTTCAATGAGAAAAGGTGGAATTCCTCTGCTCTAACTCACACCATTGTGAAGTTTACATATTGAGGTCTGATTTGGTCATATTCTACAGACAATGGTAAATTCCAAAGACACTCATTTCATCCTCATAGCAGGATCTAAAGTAGTTCAGAGAATATGTCCCCTCCTGCTCTGTCTCCATGAAAAGGGAATAAGCTGCTCAAGGCTTAGATAACTAAAGTGATGGGAGAGGAATCCCAAGTAAAGGTTTGTTTCTGGATTTAAGAAGACTCTTGATTCATGAAGACTCTCAGTGCAGAGTTGCACATTTGTAAGTAGCCAAGCGTGGGATGTATCTCTTGGGTGAGATTCAATTAGCATCCTCTAAAGTCATAAATCCACAGAACTTCAGATGAAGAGAACCTGTCATGGTCCCCCACATGCCATGAATATTTATGAGAGATCTTCTGGTGCCTTCTCCAGTCTACTCTTAACAGTCTCAAACAATGAAGCTTGTATGCCAGCTTTGGAGCCATCTCTCAGCCTCACAGGTATCTTATCAATAAGAGATTTTAAAAATAATTTCTACCTTACACTATTCCTCTTTTAATAGGTTTTAGTGCTGAGGAGTCTCAAAGACCAAAGGACTTCTATTCTAATCTCCTAAGAAACACAGGCCAGAGACCATTGCCTGCATAAACACAATATCCAACAGTAAAACAGTATTGTCCAGTGTGTAATACAGCGAGTCCAGCTTTCCCAAAGCTATCTGAAGAGTAAGATGTCAAAAGATGTATTGAATCACAG